GCTTCTTCAAAGCAATACGCCGCCGTTTGTGCTGGAGGACACGTGGGGTAACAAGACGCTGAATCTTAGGCGCTTTGGTTCTAGGTTTTTTACCTGAAAATTCAGATGATGATTCAAACACTTCTCAAGAATACCCGTGTTCATTAGGATCTACATTTTAAAAACATTACTAACAGGACTACTGTAGGAAAACTTACCTGTATGAGGCCTTTTAAGTCAAATCTAATAGACTTCCTACCCTGTCAACAAAAAGCCAAGATGGGCTAAATATTCTCAAAATAGAAACTGGTAAGTCCTTCTGAAAAGTGAAGAGATTAACTTTGTCTACTAGGTGCCAGTGTTTTCCTGATTAGCACATTTAATCCTCAAACGGCTCATTAAACTACACCACTAATTTGGATGTCAACTTCAAGACCGTATGTAAATTTAGGCTACTCTGCTTGGGGGGGGGGGGGAGTCATACCCCAAGCTTTTTTCTACTCAACTTTGGTTTCCCTTCCACAATTACACTGTCTTTGTAGGGTATTACATATTTTGTACTCTAAGACACAGGAGCATTAGTTTAAAACTGTATTAACTGTGCCTGTGTAAACTCATCTATGAAAACTAAGCTCTATCTGCACCACTACCCTAACCATACTCTGAAATCCCATTTATGCTTGCATCTGGTATTTGCCAAGGCAGATCCTGCCAATCTGGGGAACAAAACCATTAACGTTAAAATGTGCAGCACAGTGTTCATAGAGTATCTTCACTTAGCCCGTGTGCTCTAAGTCCCAAATCCTATGGATTATAGATCTGCTTTGGAGCAGATGTCTCTTTAGATGTAATCATTTGTTTGTAGACACCTGGTGAGAGTAACAAATAGCTCAGGCAAATATTCTAGAACTAAGTAATTGTTCAGGTTTTGCTAAAAGTCAAACATCTTAATTATAAAGATAAAAGAACCATGCTATAAACACCTGTTAACTACAACACTTACTACACTGATATTGCCAGTGGTGTTTATTAGCCAACTGCCATGTACCTGCCATTTCTTTCTTTTTTTAAAAAAGATTTTATTTGAGAGAGGAGGACAGAGTACAAGCAGGGAGGAGAGGGAGAAGCGCACTCCCTGCAAAGCAAGGAGCCTGATGTGGGGCTCGATCCCAGGACCTGAGCTGAAGGCAGACACTTAACCGACTGAGCCACCCAGGCGCCCCTGCTATTTCTTTTTTAAGCGTAAACCACAGGAGAATAACTTGTCCTTTTATACTATATCACCAACACTTAAAATAGTACCTCGCACACAGGTGGTTCAGATATTTGGAGTGACCCATGAGCACTCGCCATATGCCAGGTGTAGGTTTTAGGTTTTTAAGTACCCAGCACCAAAACCCAACCAGTTTTTTTCACATTTGTCAGGAAAACCCACCTGAATGGACATGCTCTTTACTCCACATAATGGAAAGAAATACTCATACACTTTACTAAGAAATAGTCATGTCACAGAACACTGCTGCCTCACCGGTGATGGGTCATGTTCCCTAACAAACCACGTTATCTACTATATACCATCTCAAAATATTAAAGCTCCAAAACCCCAAACACCTGTTCCTAGGATTCTGAATGAAGTATTTTTGTTCTAATGTCCACAACTCCCAGTACTGCTATCCACATCTCAGATTAAGAAAATGAGGGCCAGGACTTAACAGCAACTTCAGCTGATGAAAGCATTACTTCGTCTGTAAACAAACAGAACCCTAATATGTAAAGAAAGCAAAAGTGGGTGGGAAGTCAGCACATTCAACCATAGTCCCAGAATTTTCTATCATTTTCCCAACTCCTAACCCAAAGTAATGAACCTTAGGTCTGCTAAGTTAACTTCAGATAAGCATACATGAGTAGCTCAGGGAAAATTTCAAGTAAAATTGTAATACTCTAGAGAAGCATCAGATACAACAAGGATTAGTAACAAGTGCCGATCTTGACCCTCTTCCCAGTATTTTCCTAAAATACTTAAACTCCTGCTAAATACATAACAGGTGGACTTTCTAATATGTGCACAAAATGCTACAGACAAGATTAAGCAAACCCTAAATTGCATAATCTCCCCTACCTTCTTTGTTTAGGGGCTTTCTCACAACATACTGGCGGACATCATCTTCTTTAGAGAGATTGAAAAGTTTGCGGATTCTGCTGGCTCTTTTG